ATATATATATATATATATATATATATATATATACTGTATTTTACCTGCGTCTACGGTGAGGATCGACCGGTTTAGATAATAGATGTACTCTGAGGATATATTGGAGTCGATATATCCAACGCTGGATATATCGACTCAATTCAACGCAGCTTGTTCAGAGGCGGGATATAACAGCGACAGTTTAACCGTGTGTGGCAATTAGACTGATGACCCATAATCAATCCCTCTTGTACTTTAAACAAACTGTAACAGGCCGCGACGTTTAAACAAAGCAAGCTGGAAGGCCCACTTGATTTATACGACAATCTCTCACCTGACGGACACATATGATGGCGTGTCATCATATGTGTCATACCGTGAACACATAATCTTGTTTTTTCCCGATGAGACATTCAAACAAATACTCATGAATTCATCTCTTAAACACATTAATTACCCACATAATTACACAAGTGTCACGCTTCACAGACAAAAATTTACAGATGCCTTTTTTTTTTTTTACCTTCCGTTGGTGGGTTGTAGATCCGGCGCCGGGTTGAGTGACAGGGCAAGCGCGTTGCTCAGTTTGCCGACAGGTGTCGCTGGAGTTCGACGCGACACGCCATCGCGGCCCCAGTAAGACACATACTTCGTCTGATCCCCACCCGTATATGTTGGATCCTGTGGCGCAGTGTTCTACATTCTCATCTCACAACCAGGGTTTGATCCCCCGGGAAGGACAGAGACGGTTGTACCCCTTTCCCATTCGATGCCTTTGGACACCCAGCAGTTATAAAGGTACCTGTTGTGAGCCGACAGTTGAAATAGGGGAGTGATATAAGGATACAGATAGACTGTATCCTTCATCTCCATTAATCTAAGTGCCAGCTTTCTGTCCCTAGCAACGGGAATTACATCGGAGCAGCCATGCAAAGCTCTTATAACCCTCTGAGGTACCTCCATGTCTTGGTAACCATCTTGCAGGTTCTTGGACTGTTTCCCTACCGGTGGTCGGACTCTGCGCCTCGCTGCCCGCCTCAGTTCCACATGGGTCTCTTCCTCTGGCTGGTCTTCACTAGGATGATCGTCCTTAGCGGTCTCTTACTGACGTTTTCAGACGTCTTAGCCATGCCTCAGGACAGCGTAGGGAGCATTACTCTCCTGGTGAGTCTGGCTGTCAGCAATGGCTCCCTGGTTCTCAGTTGCTTCCTACTAGTCTACAGTAGCCCGAACCTCAAGACTACCCTTTTGGGACTAGATAGGTTGTATCCTGATGTCCTCCGGTCGGTAGATGTTCCGTTCAAAAGCCGTTGGGTGGATAATCTAGTGCCGCTGGTGCTGGTGTTCACTCTGGCGCCCTCAGATATCCACAAGCTCGTCCTCACCTCCACCAGCGTCAACACGCCCGTCTCACACAAGGTCCTCAGATGCTTCTACTGGATCCTCCTGCTGGGAGCCTGTCAAGTTGTGTTCTTCATCTTCGACGCCCTGCTGAAGGTCTTCGGGAGGCACCTGACGGAGTCGGTTCTGGAGGTGACAACTAACGCTGCTCGACACTTGCCTCCTGGCCCTCCGCCTAGCCAGGGCCACACTGCTGCAGCAAACATACACAAGATGACACAGCTTTTTGAATTGGAAGCGCAAATAAGAAAGGTGAGATGAAACATGGGCTTCAAGTTTGGTATGAATGTAAACACAAAATATGACATAGAGTATACAATTAACGATGCTGTATACCGTATTTTTGCGTAGAGGCAATATTTTTGTTTCCCCTTTAGGATCAAATTCGACAAATAAAATGTTACGTATCGCTGAGTTTGGTCTTAACTGTGGCGCAGGTGGAGACGCTGCTTGAAGAAGCCATCTTCTTCTTGGGTGGAGTGGTCAGCATCCAGCTCCTTAACAACACCATCCTCATCATCTCCGGCTTGTGTACGGTGGTTCACAAGGGCCTCACCGACGACACCCTCATTCCCTTCACCGCCGCCGGCGCCGTCTGGTTCCTCTGCACCTCTGTACAGATCTTTATCAACAAGGTACTGGCCCTTGTGGCTGCTTGTAGTTCTTGTGAGGCCAAAGCAATTCCGTATTTGAATAGCAATAATTGCGTCAAAGCCACATCTCACGAAAATGTGTGAACAACAAGACTGTTGTGGCCTTTATGGTTGTGAGTTTTATGATTATCTGCATCTTCAGATAAAGAAGGTGACGGGACTCTTGAAGGACTACAGCTGTACGGAGTCAGACGCCTCCGTCAAGGGACAGGTAAAAGTTCACAACGAAACATTCACTCTGAATTGCCAATACAAAATGTAAATAATGAGATATGGTACAAAAAGTGATAAATACACGCAGTAACGAAAAGGATAAGAACAGACGAAGCTTCACGTCGTCGGAGTATAGATATAAATCCTACAAGATTAGATAAATCCTACAAGATTAGTTTCCGGAAAGACCTGAGGAAATAGCGGTGCTTGGATTTTGGGCACGTGGGCCCCACGGGATTGTTTCAATTGAAGCTTAGAATTCCATATGAACGGCTTCGCCTCGTGTGGGCCAATAGGTTTTCTGTAGTTTTTTGTTTCCATATTATTAATTTTTCGAGTATTGAAAAGCTGTGTACTAACCTAGCTGTGTCCTTCCTTCCCTGTCTTACCAGGTCCAGCTTCTCATCTTTCGTCTGGATCATCTCGCCAAGTTCGACATTCTTGGTTGCTACAGCCTCGGCTTCTCCACCCTGGTGTCGGTAAGGGAGGGAGGGAGGGAGGGAGGGCAAGGGAGGGAGGGAGGGAGGGAGGGAGGGAGGGAGGGAGGGAGGGAGGGAGGGGGAGGGAGGGAGGGAGGGAGGGAGGGAGGGAGGGAGGGAGGGAGGGAGGGACAGGGAGGGAGGGAGGGGGCAAGAAAGGCAGGAAAGGGGGCAAAAAAAAAAAATTGAAATACATTGAAGAATAAATGGAAAAAAAATATAGAAAATTATGTGAATAAGTTCAACTTTATGAAGTTGAATATATATATATTATATATATATATATATATATATATATATATATATATATATATATATATATATATATATATATATATATATATATATATAGGTTAGGTTATATGTATATGTATATATTGGGCCAGGATTCGAACCTGTGATGCCACTGGTCACTCAGCCCTCTGGGGTCACCAGTCCCCAATACCATTTCACCGGCGCTTGCTGGTGGAATGGTTTCTCTCAGTGAGTCTGACTGAATCTTTTCATTCTCCAGGTTGGGAGTTTCGTAGCGACTTATGTAGTGGTGCTTCTACAAGTTGGTTGGCTGCCCCACCATGGCATGTAGACCACCTTCTACAGGATGAGTGGCAGCCTCGCCTCATGGAAGTGCTGGAGGAACACATTTTTCACCCATTTTTCAACCAAGTGAATTCCTGGAAGCCTCGGTATTCAAGGAATCATCGGAACAAAAGGGGTCAAGCTTGAAGGGGGGATTCTGTGATTCCTTTGATGCCAAATTAGCAAATAGGATTTTTCTGTGATTACCAGGTGTTTTCCCCATCCTCTTGGACTGGTTGGTAAAGCGATGGCCTTGCCTCTTGAAAGGTCGATGTTCGATCTGTAATGATTCAAGTGGTTGAGCACCATTTCTTCACTCCGTTCTCGTGTACCAGCTCCTTGTCCTCATATTCCATCTCCTTTACGATATCGCAATTGCTTGTTCTCGTGTTCTCTCTAAACACTCCTCAATCGTCCTTTCTCAGCGCTGTCTCCTGATGTTTAGAATTAGGTTTAGGATTAGGTTTAGAATTAGGTTTAGGGTTAGGTTTAGAATTAGGTTTAGGGTTAGGTTTAGGGTTAGGTTTAGAATTAGGTTTAGGATCAGGTTTAGGTTAAAATAATTTATTATTCTCAGATATGTAAAAAATAATTCAAAACTATTTGAGTGTCTTCTTGAATTTCACATTAAAGAGAGTTGTGTGCGTATCAAAGAAAATGAGTTTACCATATTTGTTTTATTTTAAACTATCGATTTATAATACAAACCAGTTATAACTTGAGAATATTCTCTGTTTAGGACAAATGGTCACGTGCCAATTCACAAGTAGACTATTGTTGCAACAGTAATATGCTTTCAAACCAGTCACAAATTTCAAGATGGTGCGAATTCATGCATGGATCATTAACTTGTGAGCTGTGAATATTAGGATTAATAAAAGTAACATTTCACTGATTTTTGTGTATCATCTTTACTGGATACTTGCAGTATACCAAACTCTTGTAGTATATCAAACCTTGCAGTATACCAAACTCTTGTAGTATATCAAACCTTACAGTATACCAAACTCTTGTAGTATATCAAACCTTGCAGTATACCAAACTCTTGTAGTATATCAAACCTTACAGTATACCAGACTCTTGCAGGAGACCAAACACTTGTTTATAACAAACTTGTAGTATACTGTCATTAAGAAGGAATATTTAGCTTCTTAACAGGGGAATATCTATCCTCATTATGAGGAAGTATTTACAATCCCTGCAAGGTAATATAGGGGAGACATTACTTCCTGTAACACCCAGGCGCAAAGGAAATTGAAATAAAGTTTTCAAATAAAATATATTCCATTCATTATTTAAGGAATAATGAATATATTGTCGGGTAAACATTCGTGGGTTTAAGAGACTTATGTTTGAACAATAATAATCTTGCTATTTAATAACAAAGAGGAATAAGTTAAGAGTCAGTGTAGTGGTGACGCGAAGCAGTGTTGAGTCACTCTTCCAACTAATAAAAATACAGCTGAATAATACAACTACTAAATAACTATTGAAATGTAGGGAGAGACAAAAGGCGAAATATATTCCTATACGACACGACAATGCTCATAGCCAGAGCTATTATGACTAGCATAGCAAAAGAAAAATGGGAAATATGTATATATATACTGTACATAAATATAAATTATATATATATATATATATATATATATATATATATATATATATATATATATATATATATATATATATATATATATATATATATCGTTAGCTGCTAGCTTCATCTATAAGCTAATGCTCGAGTCTTAATAAACTCGTACACTCACTACGCCCTTGCTGTGTGGCCATTAGTACACCACTTTAAAGTGTTCATGGAAGTAAATCACAGATTCTATGGTATATCAAGATACTTTAATTTAACAATCATTTCTTATGTGCTTTCTCAAATATAAATCTAGTCTAATCAGCACTCCTTCGTTATTGGTTTTCAAACGTCTGATTAATATATATATATTTTCATATATAACCTTCAATAACACCAATGCAGTGTCTTACAGTGGTGATTAAAGATGCTAGATCACCTTCGTGACTTACTCTTAAATGTCTTCTTGAATGGGAAAGTAAGTATTTAGGTATACTTACCTAAATACTTACAATATTTACGTGCTGGTAAGTATTTAGAAAGATCTTACCCCCGTGTACATTAGTCACAGTGATCACAGATGTGAATTTCACTGAAAACAAAGTCTCATGCTTTTGTTTCTTGTCGTAAGAACCAGTCGACGCTCCATACTTCAAGAAAGTACCAACAATAGCTCACACTGTGGTTTCTGAAGCCCTGTAATGAAAAAAAAGAATGATATTTAGCCGGAAAGTAAGTAATTATCACAAAAAAGGTACTAAGTAAGTAATTATCAAAAGAGGGTACTAAGTAAGTAAGTAATTATCAAAAGAGGGTACTAAGTAAGTAAGTAATTATCAAAAGAAGGTACTAAGTAAGTAAGTAATTATCAAAAGAAAGTACTAAGTAAGTAAGTAATTATCAAAAGAAGGTACCAAGTAAGTAAGTAATTATCAAAAAAAAAAAAAAAAAAAAAAAAAAAAGGGCACCAAACCGTAAAGGCTATGTTAGAAGTCACCAAACCATTTAGCCAGCAAACTACCCTTGACTTTAGTGACCATTCATTCTGAAGCGAATTAATTTTCTGTGATTTGAGAAACGTTTGAGAGACTTGTGTTGACTGAAGGATTTGTCGAGTCAACTAACTGCCATGACGCAACCCATCATGTTGAAGGTCTTAGAAGATTAGCAAACGCTAGGTGAAAAGATCACTAGAAAGAATGACCTGTATCAAATATTTGTCATACCTTCAGCCGCGAAAAATATTCTCACAATCCTTTAAATCCCCGTGAGAAAGAATGAATGGGAACTTTATTTACATTTTGTACTTTAAAAGCAGATGATACCTGTGTGTTTACATCTCGCATTCATTGAGAAAACGGACATTACACGCGCTTACATCTATACGATCCTCATTGATGAAAATCGCACGTGGCTGTGTTTACATCTTGTAGCCATTATTAACGTCGCAGCCATTGAAGCCATCCCTCTTCAGCTGCCTCTTTCTAATGGTGTCGGTGGGAGCGTAGGTCGTCTTGCGCAAGAACTGTCTGAAGTTGTAAGGTCCGCTGTCGTCTGGCTCGTCGCTGGTCTGTGGGGGAGGAACCTCGACCACCTTTGCTGGGTTATTTGGGCTGTTTGAAGGAGCAGGTGGAGCGTGTCTCTTCGAGGGAGGAGCATTGGACCGGAGCATCTGGCGGAGGTCTGAGGCCGCTCTCATGTTGGTGGTGGGGCTGAGAAGTTCTCTGTGAGAGGGCGAGACAGGAGGAGGAGGAGAAGGTAGTAGTTAGCACGACCACTATATACATCTACATACATATACATAGTCTGTATATTAAGGTATATATTCTCATATATAACGCATAATGTAGTGCTTTATGTGTACCACTGATAAATGTTCTCTGTTATTGCGTACAGAATCCATTGACGTGTGTGTGTGTGTGTGTGTGTGTGTGTGTGTGTGTGTGTGTGTGTGTGTGTGTGTGTGTGTGTGTGTGTGTGTGTGTGTGTGTGTGTGTGTGTGTGTGTGTGTGTGTGTGTGTGTGTGTGTGTGTGTGTGTGTGTGTGTGTGTGTGTGTGTGTGTGTGTGTGTGTGTGTGTGTGTGTGTGTGTGTGTGTGTGTGTGTGTGTGTGTGTGTGTGTGTGTGTGTGTGTGTGTGTGTGTGTGTGTGTACACGTGTTCATACACTAACCTTCCGTCAGACTGACCCACTCCTGCGCTAACCATCACAGCTCCCTGAAGCTGCCTCAGCTTCCTGTCAGAGGCGTCCTCGTTCTCCATGTTCTGAGTCTTGAGTCCCTCCTTCACCTTCTGTATCTTCTCCTGTTGGAGGTTGACCTTGGCCCCGTCGGCACCCGAAGCCCTGAATCAAGGGAGACCCTAAGCATGAGCATCATATTATGTCCCTTGGGAGATTAATTGGCTTAATAATTCTCGAATTGTAATTATTGACATAAAATAAGCATTTTTTGCACTTGTATTCATTTAATCAGTTTGATAACAAGTAGCAGCATATGATTAATAATCTTGGATTGGTTGGTTGGTTAGTTAGATCTAATTTCCTGCAGGGGACGAGTTCAATCCCCCAATAGCCCACGTGGTCAGGCTCCATTTATTTACACAGTCTTTTTTTATCCCAGCTCCTTGTCTTCATATCCCCAGCTCCTTGTCCTCACTTCCTAGCAAGCGCTAGGTAGTGCTATATCAAGATGGCCTTACCTGAGAGAAATTACGGGCTCACCATAGCCCGTGCTACATGGACACTTCGTTCTGAAGAGTTAAATCTAAAACAACAACAACAACTGAGAGAGAAAGGTAAGATACCTTACTTAGGGAGCCGGTCGGCCGAGTGGACAGCACGCGGGACTTGTGATCCTGTGGTCCTGGGTTCGATCCCAGGCGCCGGCGAGAAACAATGGGCAGAGTTGCTTTCACCCTATGCCCCTGTTACCTAGCAGTAAAATAGGTACGTGGGTGTTAGTCAGCTGTCACGGGCTGCTTCCTGGGGGTGGAGGCCTGGTCGAGGACCGGGCCGCGGGGACACTAAAAAGCCCTGAAATCATCTCAAGATAACCTCAAGATAACCATACCTGAGAGAGAGAGAGAGAGACAGGGGCTCCCCCCCCCCCCCACCGTCAAAAAAGAAGCGTTGGTTGTTACTACACACCAGAAACGTCTAATTAGCAGTGGTTTTCCCGATCTAGAAGTGTACGAGCCTTGGTAACTCACCTTTACCTACAACCACTTGGGCTGGACGGTAGAGCGACGGTCTCGCTTCATGCAGATCGGCGTTCAATCCCCGACCGTCCAAGTGGTTGGGGCACCATTCCTTCCCCTCCGTCCCATCCCAGGTCCTTATCCTGACCCCTTCCCAGTGCTATATAGTCGTAATAGCTTGGCGCTTTTCCTTGATAATTCCTTCCATTCACCTTTACCTTGCGAGGCTGTGGTGCTTGTTTCCTGACTACTTGAGACATGGCAGTATGTGTCCTAAGTACTTGACACACACCACTATGTGTCCTAAGTACTTGACACACACCAGTATGTGTCCTAAGTACTTGACACACACCACTATGTGTCCTAAGTACTTGACACACACCACTATGTGTCCTAAGTACTTGACACACACCACTATGTGTCCCCTTAGTGCTTGACACGGTGCCAATAGCCATATCAAAATGACTGGATCGTCCAGTCGTACTTGTACAGGTATTAAGGTAATTTAGCAGATTATTAAACATTAATATATGTAGTTAATAATTATACTAAGATAATCGTGTATCTAATTGCCTATAACTAAAACGACATGCATGCAAGCTCAATAAAGACCAATGTAACAGTCTATTGTTTTGGGAACGGAATCTTACTTATTTTATTTACTTTTTCAGCAATTTAGATACTTTCAAGCATGAAGAAATATGCTCGGTTACTCAACACTTTAACTAACTCGTCAATGAGTAGCGCCAACTACCCCCCTTACTCATGTGAGATGAGTTAACCTGCTCTAAAGGAATCCCAGTTACTCATAATACTGTGAGCTGAACTACTCTACCATATAGCAGAAAACTAGTTACTCATCATACTGTGAAGTAAACTAACCCACCATACAGCAAGTGTCAAGCAGACCTTAATACTGTGAGGTAAACTAACCCCACCATACAGGAAGTGTCAAGCAGACCTTAATACTGTGAGGTAAACTAACCCCACCATACAGCAAGTGTCAAGTACCCCTTAATACTGTGAGGTAAACTAACCCACCATACAGGAAGTGTCAAGCAGACCTTAATACTGTGAGGTAAACTAACCCCACCATACAGGAAGTGTCAAGTACCCTTTAATACTGTGAAGTAAACTAACCCACCATACAGGAAGTGTCAAGCAGACCTTAATACTGTGAGGTAAACTAACCCCACCATACAGGAAGTGTCAAGTACCCTTTAATACTGTGAAGTAAACTAACCCACCATACAGCAAGTGTCAAGTACCCCCTAATACTGTGAGATAAGCTAACCTCTGGCGCGTACTGTGACGGTGTACTTTGGAGGCCAAAGGAGCGTCCCAGGGTGTGTCAGGACTGTATTCCGGCATGGTACTGTGTTGCAGGCAAAGGTGTTAGTGGCAGGCAAAGAAAAAAAGTATTTCAAAAAAGGTTAATACATGCTTAACAAAATAGATTTCAAAATCGGCTTTTATAAAATAAATTTCAACATCATGAGATATCTACCAGTGAGCCAATATACCACATTAAATATATATAGTAATCACATCACTAACATCACCACTACAACCACAATCATCCACCAAAGTCTACACACACACACACACACACTATCATAACAAGCTCCACCATCACCACTATTCATTCCAAACACCACCACCACTACCATTACTACCACCATCTTCACAAGAGCTACCATCTTCACCACCATCGACACTCACCTATTCATCTCCTCCTGGAGAAAATCGTAGTACTCCGAGACATTGTTATCGATGGAGGTTATCTTGATGAGTGGACGCGGGTGGCCATTACCGGGCTAATGGGAGAAGATAACATTCGTATATTGAGCGACGGGAAACGATAACGCAAGTATACTTAAAAGGAGAAGATATCAAGATTCCAAGACAGTCAAAAAATCATGATTTTGGTCGCATTTGAGACGATACAAGATAAATACATTTTGTGATTGTTTATTTATTCAATTTCAAGGTGAAGTGGAGATAACTTATCCAGCTGGTGTCGTCGTGTATATGTATGCATGTGTGCGTGAGTGCGTGTGCGTGCGTGTGTCTCCCCCCCCCCTCACTTACCGGTTGGGGAGCTGCTCTCTTACGGTGTTCGTGAATCACCTGAGGGACCTCGTCGAAGCCTCTGGGCCTCTTGTAATCTTTAGGCGCCTCTTGAATCTCCTCCATCCGGACCCCTGGCTTGTGTTTCCTCAGGAGTTTGTGAGCTTCTTGGTTGGACATGTGTACCTGAGGGGAAGATGGAGGAAGTACGTGAGAGAGAGAGAGAGAGAGAGAGAGAGAGAGAGAGAGAGAGAGAGAGAGAGAGAGAGAGAGAGAGAGAGAGAGAGAGAGAGAGAGAGAGAGAGAGAGAGAGAGAGAGAGAGAGAGAGAGCGGAGTGGGAGATTAAAAAGTGACAAAAGTGTGCTAAAAAAAAGTCAAGAAGAGAGAACACGATGCAGGAATACCTCAGGAGAATATATTTATCCAAAACACTTGAGTGAAGAAAGAACTACTCCAAGAAAGCCTTCAGTATGAACAAACTACTCCAAGAAAGCCTTCAGTATGAACAAACTACTCCAAGAAAGCCTTCAGTATGAACAAACTACTCCAAGAAAGCCTTCAGTATGAACAAACTACTCCAAGAAAGCCTTCAGTATGAACAAACTACTCCAAGAAAGCCTTCAGTATGAACAAACTACTCCAAGAAAGCCTTCAGTATGAACAAACTACTCCAAGAAAGCCTTCAGTATGAACAAACTACTCCAAGAAAGCCTTCAGTATGAACAAACTACTCCAAGAAAGCCTTCAGTATGAACAAACTACTCCAAGAAAGCCTTCAGTATGAACAAACTACTCCAAGAAAGCCTTCAGTATGAACAAACTACTCCAAGAAAGCCTTCAGTATGAACAAACTACTCCAAGAACTCTTCAGAACTTCAAGAACTCTTCATTGATCTTCTGTTAATCTTCAATGAAGGCTTCAAGAAGCCTGCATTGAAGAACACTAGAACATGGAAAAAAATATGTAAACATTTGCTAGAAAACAGATCTTTCATTGCTAAAAACTCTAGTGTAGAATTTACTGTTCCGAGAATAATTTTGTTCAAGGCATGCGGAAAATCAGCAGCAGATAAGATCATTAAAAACATGATTTAGGTAATAACAAACTCCTCCAAGATGATCAATTAAATTAAAAGCCAAGAAAATCAAAGACAATTTAAAATATTTAAGAAATCCAGAACAGAAAAAGCTAGAAAACGTTCAATCAAGAACATCCAAGGCTAGAAAACTTTCAGTTAAGAACACCCAAAGGCAGAAAACTTTTAGTTAAGAGCAACCTAAGGTAGAAAACTTTTCAACGCCTTAAGGAAGAAACCCGTTCAAGGAAAAAACCCCGAGAAAGATAATTTCAAATCCTTAAAATGTCTTCCAGTCACCAAAAGACGAGTCAGAAATTCCCAGATGCTGAAGCTTACGCAGAAATGCCCAGAAATGCCCAAAATACACAGATTAAGGAAAAAACTTTCCAAGAACTCCCAAGATAGAACAATCTTCAAGATAACAGGCCGCACGTAGAACTCTTGGGTAGAGTAAACCTCTTTAAGAACAACCAAGAAGAAAACAGACCATTCCAAGAATGTCCCATACTAGGTACAACCTATAAGAACACCTGTGTTCTTCTCAAAGAACAACATGTTCTACCTTGGCGCATAACATGATATTCCTTATCCTATGGAAGAATGTGTAACCTGTTCATTATGTTCTGAGAGATAAAAGATGTTCTTCCTTATAAGCTGCATAACCGAACATATGGCTCCTTGGGCAACGACCCAAAAAAATGCTGTTCCCTAAATTTTGAAAGAACAAATGAACTGTTCTTCACGCTTTGAGAGAGAACAAAAGATGTTAACTTACACTCTCTGCAAACATGATGAGGCTCGTCATTTTCTTGCTGTTTGTATACCGACCAAGTTCCAGTTCCTTGTTCGACTCCTTGGCCGGTTCTTGGGAATGTTCCTTAGTCAGTTCCTGGCTCGATTCCTTGCTCGGTTCCTTGGCAGATTCCTTGGCTGCTTCTCTCCTCTCCTTTCTCTGCTTATGCTTGCCCCAGAATTTCTGAATAACCAACGCAGCATCTTCGGCGGACAGTCCCTCTGCCTGTGGGTGAATGGCTGAGTGGTTGAGATAGTCGGTGGGTGAATGGCTGAGTGGTTGAGATAGTCGGTGGGTGAATGGCTGAGTGGTTGAGATAGTCGGTGGGTGAATGGCTGAGTGGTTGAGATAGTCGGTGGGTAAGTGAGTGAGTATGAATGTGTGTGTGTGTATATGTGTGTTTTGGTGATTTCGTTGTAAATTATATGGGTGGGTGAGTTAGTTGATGGTTGAGTGAGCAGAGGGTCGGTGGATAAAGCTACAGGTGTGTGTGTAGGTGGATGGGTGATTGGGTCTTGGATATATGAGTAAGTGTTTGAATGAAAGCGTAGGTGTGTGGCTTATTTACACACACACACACACAAACACACACACACACACACACACACACACACACACACACACACACACACACACACACACACACACACACACACACACACACACACACAACAACAACATTACCTGCAGGGCCTTCGACGCTTCTTCAGGGTTGTCCAGGTGTTTGGCTACCAATTTGCTAAGTCTCTCCTCCAAGATGGGTCCCCACTCCTGGCGCACCCGGTACCCCCTGAAGTCTGCAACAGGCGGAAGAAAACCCGGCTCAGTGGATGATTAAATGGGTGCGTGGATGGGTAATGGGTGAGGGATGATTAACAGGGGGTGAGAAATAATGGAAACAATGAGGTATGATTGAAGGGATCAGTGGCAACCGGTTAAGAGGAAAGTCGAGTATTAAAATGATTAGAAGACTGAATTAAACGAGAAATTGGAACAAGTAATCTAACACACTGAAGGAAGTCAATAACGACCTTCTTAGAAACTGTACAGCAGGAGTCTACGGCTACTAGGGGAAGATGTCTAGGCAAATGCAGACTAGGAATGTTAGAACTATTACAAATAGGAGAACTATCTCCTATTTTGTATCACCTCTAAACAAATAGGAATTACGGCACCAAGTATTGGACAACACAGATAAAATATTGGAGATCAGTGTTAAAACGGAGGAATGTTATACTAGGTGTTACGTCGATCTCACAAGTCCTACGTCGATCTCACAAGTGCTACGTCGATCTCACAAGTGCTACGTCGATCTCACAAATCCTACGTCGATCTCACAAGTGCTACACGTCGATATCACAAACGCTACGTCGATCTCACAAGTGCTACGTCGATCTCACAAATCCTACGTCGGTCTCACAAGTGCTACGTCGATCTGACAAATGCTACGTCGATCTCACAAGTACTACGTCGATCTCACAAACGTTATGTCGATTTCACAAGTGCTACGTCAATTTCACAAGTGCTACGTCGATTTCACAAGTGCTACGTCGATCTCACAAACGCTACGTCGATCTCGCAAACGCTACGTCGAGGAAAGAATGGATCAAGGTGTTTACGAGGTATGCCATTCACTATAAGCATCGTTACTGCAAGAGTTCCTTAAGACAAGCTGCTCTTACAAGCTTGTATAACACAAGCGGCCTCCTCCTCCGTCAGAGTCCCATCCTTCAAGGCCTCTCCGAAGGTCGTTACGGTGTTCTTAGAGTCCCGATCCTCCTGTATCCGGCCCTCAGCATCAGTAGCAGCATCCTTGTCCGGAAATGCTGCCTCTTCCTCCGGAGATTTCTTTTTATCTTCTTGATCCAGCGATGACTGCGCTCCGAGGGCTCCCATCATCTTGACTTTCATCCACTGACCTAAAAACACCAACTTACCGCTTAAGGTAAAGTTACATCCGTAAACCAGCGTTCTAAAACTGTCTTAAAAGTCACCTGAGAGAGTTGAACAGCAGGTGCAGAGAATTATGTTAGTTTAAAGCCCATATGTGCATTAGTAAATGCCTAAAAGGTACATAAAGGTAAGGGGAGAGAGAGAGCAACATGGTGGGTGTTGATAACTGAATCATCGGGAATGATTGTGAGTATCTTGGCCTGGTTGATAGTGATGTTTTCGTGTATTTTTTTCCATTTATTTTCAAATTATTTAAATTATAAAAGATTTTGATGATAGAAAATGGTCCTGTAAACCATTCCATAAGGTAGGACTCAACCAAACTATTTTAAGTTGAGAAACTTCTAACAGAGGTTTCTCGGAGTACTCGTACCCCTGGAGGCCACAGTTGGGCACACACGTACCCCTCTTAGAGGTACACATACCCCCCCTAGGGGTACGCATACCCCACAACCGAAGCCGGTCCACCTGCCTGACGACCTCCACTCCACCTGAGGTATACATATCCAGCTTTAGCGTCGACTGTAAACCCAGACGTTTGCAAGCTTACGTGAATCTGTGTGAACGAGCTTCCTCTGGTCTGGCGGCGGAGGAGCGGGGCCCTTCGGAGGAGGAGGCCTCTCGTCCTCGACCACTCGCTTCGACATCTCCGCTTCGTACCGCTTTCGGGTGATCCAGCCGCGAGTGTACCTGTTGGGAGAACACAAGCTGTTTGCAAGGCAGGAACAGGCAGTTGTACTGGAAGAACAGGCGTTTTCAAGCCAAGAGCAGCCGTTTTCAAGACAAGAACAGGCATCTGTACTGGAAGAACAGCTGTTTTCAAGCCAAGAACAGGCATCTGTACTGGAAGAACAGCTGTTTAAGACAAGAACAGGCATCTGTACTGGAAGAACAACCGTTTTTAAGACAAAAACAGGCATCTGTACTGGAAGAACAACTGTTTTCAAGACAAGAACAGGCATCTGTACTGGAAGAACAGCTGTTTAAGACAAGAACAGGAATCTGTACAGGAAGAACAGCTGTTTTCAAGACAAGAACAGGTATCTGTACTGGAAGAACAGCTGTTTTCAAGACAAAAACAGGCATCTGTACTGGAAGAACAGCTGTTTTCAAGACAAGAACAGGCATCTGTACTGGAAGAACAACTGTTTAAGACAAAAACAGGCATCTGTACTGGAAGAACAACTGTTTTCAAGACAAGAACAGGCATCTGTACTGGAAGAACAGCTGTTTTCAAGACAAGAACAGGCATCTGTACTGGAAGAACAGCTGTTTTCAAGACAAGAACAGGCATCTGTACTGGAAGAACAGCTGTTTTCAAGATAAGAACAGGCATCTGTACTGGAAGAACAACTGTTTTCAAGACAAGAACAGGCATCTGTACTGGAAGAACAACTGTTTTCAAGACAAGAACAGGCATCTGTACTGGAAGAACAACTGTTTTCAAGACAAGAACAGGCATCTGTACTGGAAGAACAACTGTTTAAGACAAGAACAGGCATCTGTACTGGAAGAACAACTGTTTTCAAGACAAGAACAGGCATCTGTACTGGAAGAACAACTGTTTTTAAGACAAGAACAGGCATCTGTACTGGAAGAACAGCTGTTTAAGACAAGAACAGGCATCTGTACTGGAAGAACAGCTGTTTTTAAGACAAGAACAGGCATCTGTACTGGAAGAACAACTGTTTAAGACAAGAACAGGCATCTGTACTGGAAGAACAGCTGTTTAAGACAAGAACAGGCATCTGTACTGGAAGAACAGCTGTTTAAGACAAGAACAGGCATCTGTACTGGAAGAACAGCTGTTTAAGACAAGAACAGGCATCTGTACTGGAAGAACAGCTGTTTAAGACAAGAACAGGCATCTGTACTGGAAGAACAGCTGTTTAAGACAAGAACAGGCATCTGTACTGGAAGAACAGCTGTTTTTAAGACAAGAACAGGCATCTGTACTGGAAGAACAGCTGTTTTTAAGACAAGAACAGGCATCTGTACTGGAAGAACAACTGTTTTCAAGCCAAGAACAGGCATCTGTACTGGAAGAACAACCGTTTTCAAGACAAGAACAGGCATCTGTACTGGAAGAACAACTGTTTTCAAGCTAAGAACAGGCATCTGTACTGGAAGAACAGCTGTTTTCAAGACAAGAACAGGCATCTGTACTGGAAGAACAGCTGTTTTCAAGACAAAAACAGGCATCTGTACTGGAAGAACAGCTGTTTTCAAGACAAGAACAGGCATCTGTACTGGAAGAACAGCTGTTTTCAAGACAAGAACAGGCATCTGTACTGGAAGAACAGCTGTTTTCAAGACAAAAACAGGCATCTGTACTGGAAGAACAACTGTTTTTAAGACAAGAACAGGCATCTGTACTGGAAGAACAGCTGTTTAAGACAAGAACAGGCATCTGTACTGGAAGAACAGCTGTTTAAGACAAGAACAGGCATCTGTACTGGAAGAACAGCTGTTTTTAAGACAAGAACAGGCATCTGTACTGGAAGAACAGCTGTTTAAGACAAAAACCACACAATTACTCGGGACGAACAAGCGTTTCAGAGGAAGAAGGACATGTGTAGAACAAGCATTTACACGGAAAGAAGAAAACGTTTCTTAAAGTAAAAGGCGATTTCCAGGGGTAAAAAATTTGCATTTGTGTGGAGAGTGTCACGCACCTCTGGAGAGTGCCACGCACCTCTGGAGAGTGCCACGCACCTCTGGAGAGTGTCACGCACCTCTGGAGAGTGTCACGTACCTCTGGAGAGTGTCACGTACCTCTGGAGAGTGTCACGCACCTCTGGAGAGTGTCACGTACCTCTGGAGAGTGCCACGTACCTCTGGAGAGTGAGGACGGAGCGAGCCATCTCCCACTTCTGCTTCTGGTATCGAACCCTGGCCAACCATCGCCGGACGCACGCTTGCACCTGGATTATCCGACGTATCTGTGGGAGAATACGTCTATCTGTGAGAGATTTATCCCAAAAAGGATCAATCTCTTCGGTATATATATGTGATCAATGGAGTGTGTATATATGATCGCATGGGGGTACGTATGTGTCACCTCTGAGAGGTGTATATGTGATCTCATCGAGCGTATATATATCATGGAATACATATATGATCTCATGTTTATATGTGATTTCATGGGGGTTTTCATATATTTCCTTCACAGACGTTTTTTGACACTTAACACCACCACCTTGTTTATTAACTTAACCCCTAGACCTTACTAACCCTTTAATCACTATGGTGACCTTTGACCTAACCAACCTCTTATTCACCAAGTGAACGTGCCACTATATAACCTCATGCATCATTAACCTGACCCTTGACCTTACCTGCTTCTCGTACATCTTAGTAAGAAATTCTACATGGTAATACTTGAGGAACACCTTCGTCTTGCCAAGCGCCCATCCATCCATCTTGAGTCGTAGCAACAAAAGACGACAGTTCTCCCTCGAAGCAGTCACTCGCTCGTCGAAATTGAAGGCCAAGAAACAGTATCTGATGGAGGAGTACCAGCAGAAGGTAAAGGTCTGGAGGTCAGAGCTTGGAGTGGCAGGTCATGGAGGTTAGATTTCCAAAAAGGAATGTCATGCAGGAGCAGGTGAAATAATTTTGGGAGGACAGGTATTGAACACGTCATGACCTCATGTGTGTCACTGGGGGGGAAGATCTCGGTAGTGAGAGAGAGAGAGGAAGATCACTGATCTTGGTAGTGAGAGAGAGAGAGGAAGATCACTGATCTTGGTGGTGAGAGAGAGAGGAAGATCACTGATCTTGGTGGTGAGAGAGAGAGGAAGATCGCTGATCTTGGTGGTGAGAGAGAGAGGAAGATCACTGATCTTGGTAGTGAGAGAGAGTAAGCTCACTTATCTCACTGATGATAGTGAGGAAGATCCCTGATCTCACTTTTGAGAGAGATTAAAATCACTGATCTCAATGGTGAAAGAGGTGTTGAAAAAAGAGGTTTGTGAAACCAAAGGGTAAAGCAGAGAGAGATTACTGTAAAGAGAATCTGGAAAGGTTATATCTTGGAGGTTAAAGGTCGGACCTGGAGCCCCTCCGAGACAAGTTAAGGGGTTGAGGGGGAAGATGTATGTGTGTGGGGTAGATAAGATGATCATGACGAATCTTAGTGACCTTAAATGTTACAATTTTGAAGCATAAATAATTTTCCCAACGAAAACATAATAGAAAAATTATCTTAATCTTCCATAATAAAAACAATGAGCTGTAACACGAAAAAAAATAAACACTAGAAATTATATGATAAAGATCAATTTTATTGGCAGGTTTATTTAGAGCTTTATTTAGATTTATTTCCACAAAACAGTTTAAAAACAACTCCACCTTCGGAGGAACTCTGGGAATTGGATCCTGTGTGGGAAGCCATGTTGTCTGATGCGAACCGTCTCCATCACACCTGCATAATTCAGCTGCTGTCGCACCTGTCGAAGAGGAAAAACAGGTGATCAGTTGAAGGCTTAACTGCTGACAAATACATTCGTTTCTCTGTGTTATCAAATATGGGTCTTTGTTGACTCAGTGCTGAGGATAGGAAAATAAGGAGAGTTGTGAGGAAAAAGCAAAAGAGAATCAGAACTACTTTATAGCACTGGGAAGAAAGCCGAAAAGTAGACAGAGTGAAGGAACGGTGCCCATCAACCACTTGAAACACCGGGGATCGAACGCCGACCAGCAAGAAGAGATTTCCCATTTGTTTCTCGCCAACGCCCGGGATCGACCCCAGGACCAAAAGGATCACGCGTCCAGCGTGCTGTCCGCTCAGCCACCGGCCCCACGTTTATATACTTTATATACGGCCCCACATGTGTGTTTATATAACGTCCGAACGCAGGTATTTTTTTCCAAACACCTCACCAAACACACACAGCTGACGAAGCAGAATCACAAACATTTACCCCAAGATAAAACCGTCCTCTTACCTTCGTCTTATCAAAGTGGCTGGCCTCCTTGGCGTCATTGGGCTTTATGCACCTGACGAAGTGCGGCGTCCCGTTCACCATCTTCTGCAGGAGGTCCATGAGTGAGTACCTGAAGTAGGTGGCTACCGTCTGCTGCGCCTTCGTCTGAGAGGCCAGCCCACGGCTGTCGTATTGGTTCTGGAGAGAGAGAGAGGAGGGAGTGAGTCTACAGTTAGCGACGTGTATCAGTGAGGCTGGTTACAGAGCCTCACTGTAACCAGCCTCACTGTAACCCCTGTTCTACAGCAGTGAGGCAGAGATGCTACCTGTATAAGACGTGACCCGCAGTACTTACATTAGTACTGCCTGCGTGAGATCTGCCCTGCTTCGAGAGCGTACCTCTGGGAGAGCTTCGAGGCGTAGCGTAGTACAGGTTCCCTGTCTTCGTCAGGGGGCACTGGAACAGGAACCTGAAGGAGGCCATGGAAAGGGAAAGGAATGGTGTTAATGGTGTTCACGGGGAATGGTGTTGTTAATTGTGTTCTGGTGTGTTATTTACAACTTCAGTTGCAGAAAATAAACTTTTTGGGGATGGTGCAATAGGGAATATTGTGTACTTTCATCATTTCATCTCTGTGTACTTCCCTTCTCGGAGGATTAGTTGGTTTGTGTGCTACCTGTAGGGGGTGTGGGGGGGGTGTCCAGTGTACGAAATGTCTGGCTAAGGTGTACATTGGTGTACACGTGATTTTGTACATTGTTTTAAACAACAGCAGACATTCTTTTGCATTCAGTCACTTGCATTCATCAACCTGTATGAATACAAGAAAACGAATACTCTTGTATTCATCTACGTGCACTCATCCACCTGCATTCATCTCTGTGTATTTAACCTTTTTAATTCCTCCACGTGAATTCATCCTCCCTCCCTCACTCACCCTCCCTCCCTCCCTCACTCACCTGATGATATCGTGGGAGCTCTGTCTCAAAATCTGGATGACTTCGGTGGGCAGGAAGTTCTTGTTCTTCTCGAGGAACTGATGGGTGTCGTACTTGACCTTCCCGGCGAAGTGGCGGATGGTGAACTCTAGTCCTTGGGCCTTGGGCTTGATGTAGTGATGAGACTTAATGTTGTTATGGAACTTTTCTGTGAGGGTGGAGATAGAGGAGTGTGTGAAACTTTGTTTCGGTGGAGCTTTTCTGTGAGAACAGAGATGAAATGGTGGAACTGTTCCTGCACTGTGTCCTCATATCCCTTCCAAGTGTTATATGCTCATATAGGAAGTTTCGCCTCATAACTACCTTACCTCCTCTCATTCCTAACCTGTATCCTACCTGGCACCCATGATTATGGCACCTTCAGGAGGGACCTTACCTACGAGGGACTGGTCACTGGCATTGGGGAAGCGGCTCTCCTCGTCCAGCAAGGCCAAAAGACCCATTGGCTTAGCCAGAAACATGTCCAAGACGGGGCGATTGTCAGCAAACTCTACGATGTCCACCTGTGGAAAGTGAGAGAGAAAAGGTGTAGGGGAACATAGGCATGAGGGATGGGGGGGGGAAGAGGCAGGGGGCAATCTAGGCAGGTGTGTGAGGCAGATGTGTGAGGCAGGTGTGTGAGGCAGATGTGTGAGGCAGGTGTGTGTTTGTTTTCCGGATCTGGGTAAAGTATTGAGATATTCGAAGATTTGAGAAGATATATTGTCTTTGTTATATAAATTTAGAAAACCCCTGAGATGGTTAGATTTTGTTGAACAGGGACAAATAAAAATATATAAATTATTAAGCACTAACATTTTATGTCGAAATATCTAATATAGACATTATATATAAATAAATAATCCACAGGTAAATAGTTAAATTCCATTCATTTTCAACCACCTTCTCCTTTATCAACAACCATTAACACCTGTCATTCATTCTAACTCCTTTCAGGTGTCTGCTGGAACTAATTAGCTAGAGCTAATTAGAGTTAGCTAAACAAATCCATAATAACTTCCAGGTTCCAGCTTTCCAGTTCACACCTGGAAAAATTATCACTTTTCCCACACATTTGAAGATTTACTTTTCGTAAGCCAAATACAAATATAATATTTTAAAGATTATGAGAACATGTAAGATTAAGATAGTCAATTCCTACTTCACCTGTCCTTCTTAAGTGAGAAGGAGAAATCCAGGAATTACGAAACATTTCTTTACCACTAGCCAAAAAAACTAAGAAAAACAGCAACACCACACACAAAAAACACAAACACACAAGTTTATACCACAGCCAGTCAAGATACAAACACACGCACACACGCACGCAAACACACGCAAACACCTTACCTCAATACCCTCGGCCATATATTCCTGCTGTTCCCACGTAAATATGTGTTGATTAAAGAAGTATTGGATCTGCTCATTGGCTATATTGATGCACAGCTGCTCAAAGGAGTTCTTCATGAAATTCTCGAAGCCAAAGATATCCAGTAGACCTACTGCCAGATTCTCACCGCTGGAACAGAAAGGGAGAAGGGGGAAGGATTTTAATAGATTTATAATGATGTGACTGAGTGAATATAAAAGAGAGAGAGAGAGAGACAGAGAGAGAGACAGAGAGAGAGACAAAGAGAGAGACAAAGAGAGAGACAGAGACACAGAGAGACAGACACAGAGACAGAGACACAGAGACACACACAAACACAGCTCTAGATAAACTCTCGAAAACAAACAGACACACACACACACATAGAAAATAAAAAAAACAATCATACAGCAAAACCTAAAAAAAAATAAAAAAAAACAGCCCTAAGAGCAGTGCCAACACTCACTAAACAATCCTGCAGAAGGAGAGAAGCCGATTGATGTTGTTAACGACCCAGTCGAACAGCCTGCCGTACATGGCCTTAGCCATGGCGTCCCTCGTGCTGACCGCCTCCTCCACCGTGTTGTTCCTGGTGATTATCTCCCCCTTCGTCACCACGCTGTTGGACGTCAGCGCCTCCGTCAGGTCCGCAGGTTCGATCCCCAGCAACTCCGACACTGTTGCCACACACACACACACACACACAGGACAAGAGTATATGATTAGTGTAAATCATGAGGGTAATGTTGTGGAGAAATGTGAGGGAAGGTAATTATGAGAAGAGTGGTAAGGTAGTTATGAGTAACCCTCCAGAATGATAAGGGAGGTTTATCAGAGGTTGTCTATCCCTTCAGAATGATAAGGGAGGTCTATCAGATGTTGTCTACCCTCCAGAATGATATGGGAGGTATATCAGAGGTTGTCTAACCTTCCAGGATGATAAGAAAGGTCTGCTCAAGGTAGTCTATCCCTCCAAAATGACAGGAAAGATCTGCCAAAAATAGTCTATCCCTCCAGAATGATTGGGAAAGTCGGCCAATATACAGAATTTTCCCCAATTTTTGCTTTTGATTTGCATACCTCAACTCGCAGGTAGCCTAGACCCCTTCCAATCCCTAATCCCCCCCACCCACTCACCAATCTTGATCTGCTCGACGTTCTTGACAGCTGCCTGTTCCATGTTGTCCTTGTCAATGGTCTGGTAGAAGTCAACATCTCCCAGGTTGATGATAGAAGCGAGGATCCTGTACACAGAATCGAGTTCGTCGTCCCTGAAGCCTAGAGACTTGAAGCCTTCGACCACTTTGTTGAACTGGACAACGTTGGACTGAACGAGACACGGGGAGAGAGAGGACAGTTAAAGGGCACTGATCAATAGGTAGATACGTAGATAAGTGTATATGTATACAAGGGACCTGCTGCTTGGGTAACAGCTTCTCCCCCGAATCAGCCTACCCTAGCTTTGCGCCCTGGAGAGACCACTCCAGACCAGGCCGACACCAGAGTGCAACTCCATAGTCTCCTGAGACTGATAGATACCTACTACTATATAAGGAGATATATAAACAGCTGATATTCTCTGACAGAGAAAAAAGAAATTGTGCTTTCTTTCTTTGCCTTATTTCCTATTCTGTTTCCTAAATTATTTTTGTGTATCTCTTCTCTCTCTTTTTTATTAGCTCTTCTGCATCTACTCTTCCGTTTATTGGTTTTAGCTTAATATACTTTTTGTTAACCTGTCATACATTACCCAACTGTGTCTTACCTCTCAAGTCAATATTTTGAATTCTCTTTGATATACTTGCCCATACCCATGCCCAGTCTACCCCTCACTTGCCCTCTAACCCCTACCCCCTTCACCAGCCTTTCTACCCTTTCCCTCACCACTTCCCTTTCCCACCCCAATCCTCCCCTAACCCCCTTACCTCACTCCTGCTCTTGCTCCAGTTGGCCCCGCTGAGGTAGCGATGCTTGGCCCTCTGGCCCTTGTCAAGGCAGTACTGGAGGAGCTTGTCCTCGGCCTCCAGACCGTCGTGAAGGTAGTAGAAGATATGGAAGTTCTGCTCTCCTCTGCGCCGTCAAAAGATGTGTAAGGAGGAGGAGGAGGAGACATTGTTGATATACGTTGATATATGTCTTGGTGGGTGGAGCAGAACCACGATATATAATATATAAAATAGCAAAGAGTAATTGAGGATATTTGACTGATACATTATAACACACAGGGATCACACTAACGTGATGCATCAAATGAACAAGTCCACAAGGGCCGTGACGAGGATTCGAACCTGCGTCCGGGAGCATCCCAGACACTCAGTTGATTAAGGCAGTGTCTGGGATGCTCCCGGACGCAGGTTCGAATCCTCGTCACGGCCCTTGTAGATATGTTACATTAATTATACCTTGTATATTTACTTGGGTGATATCTAAAGGAGGAGGAGAAGGAGGAGAATGGGTAAGAGTGAAAATTGAAGATAAATGAGAACAAATTGAAGAAAATCTAACAAAATAGGACAGGACAAGAGTGCAACCTCAAAAGGATACCTGTTCAACCAGGCTGTGACTCATACGTCAGGCTGCGAGCAGCCGCGTCCAACAGCCTGGTTGATCAGTCCGGCAACCAGGAGGCCTGGTCGACGACCGGGCCGCAGGGACGCTAAGCCCCGGAAGCACCTCAAGGTAACCTCAAGGTAACCACCCAGTACAGCCCCCTACAAGACCCACTCACACGGCCTGGTGGACGACTCTGGACTGCTCCAGGAGGTAGACGGAGATCTTGGCGCCCGTCACCTTGCCCAGCCTGGTGTACGTCACCTCCAAGTACTTCCCGAAGCGCGAAGAGTTATCGTTGATGCCGGTCTTGGCGTTCCCGAAGGCCTCCATGATTGGGTTCACCTGCAGGATCTTGTCCTCCAGGCTCCTGTTGGGCGCCTGTTAAACGGGAACAGGACAGATAATATGACGCAGATTTGACACCGAAATTGGTGTAAACAGGTGTTTAGGAGAATTCTAATATTCTAACTTCCTCACACTCTCACTCTCACTCTCTCTCTCTCTCTCTCTCTCTCTCTCTCTCTCTCTCTCTCTCTCTCTCTCTCTCTCTCTCTCTCTCTCTCTCTCTCTAGCCCTCTTTCCTTCCGTCCCATTGTCCTTTTACCAATTATCCCTACCTCCTATTCTCTCTCAGTGGACAAAACATGCTTAAATAACTTTGAATCAACATTATCGATGTTGAATTTACGTCAATATTAGCCGAAAAATCTGATGGTAAACTCATCATGGACACACTCACACTCGTCAGACTTCATAGGAGTCGTGGGTTGTCGCAATAGGAGCCACTCCTACTTAAGTACGGGCATGGGGTTGACCAGACTCTCACCCTGGTGACACTCGTATACATTCACAGTCTAACCAGAACCTCAAGCTTCCAACCTCAAGTAGATACAGAGACAGACAGACACATTCTGATTAGGTAAGCCTGGCATCTTGTGGTAGGCCCAGCAACATCTGATTACGTAGGTCAGGCTACAGAAATTCTGATTTGATTTTCTCTTAAAACTATTCAAATGTTTTGGCGCACTTTCCCCTCCCATGTGACTTATTCCTTTTCTAGTGTGCTGAACCTGCATGCCACCGAACCCCTCCCGTACATAACTAGCTCTCTCTCCTCCCCCGTACACTGCTAGTAGCTTAGGCCCCCCGTACACTGCTAGTAGCACATGCCCCCGTACACTGCCAGTAGCTCATGCCCCCCCCCCCCGTACCTTGCCCAGGGTAACGAGCTGCTTGAGGAGAAAGTTAGCGCTCTCAGTCTTGCCAGCGCCGGACTCGCCAGAGATGACGATACACTGCTGCTGCTTCTGGTGGAGCATGTTGTGGTAGGCATTGTCAGCCATGGCGAAGATGTGGGGCGGGTTCTCACTCTTCACCATCCCTCGGTGAAGACGCGACTCCTGTAGGAAGCGCAGCAGGTGGGGGTTAAGGCAGGTGGTCCGACCCGTTCTCCTAATACAACGTCGCATTTTGGACGTATACTCTTACCATAAAGCCAAAAATTTGTACTAGAAAACGGCAGCGACTCGCGGAACTGACACACTGTCCCGTTTTCTGTTTTGGGTTCTCTGGGAGGTTAGGATAAAGGGGGGGGGGACTTTAGTACGACAGTTTCTTGACGTTGGGAAAGCTTAGGAGAACGGATTGGGTGATTAGTAGTAGCAGGAATCCCTCCTGCAGGAGAGGGTGAGGGGGGGGGGAGGTAGTTAAGCACCGGTAACAAGCGTGCTTAATTATTGTTTATCAATAATAAACACAAATATAATAACGAAGATACAAATTACATAAATATTGCTTCAGAACAAAAAATCCTAAGCCTAAAAGGGTGGAACAGTATCCATGAACCCGTGCTAGGCCTAAATTATCAATTCTTGGCCTAAAATGTTACATACGCAATCTTAGGCCTGATTTAGTAAACACATTCTTTTTGGTATTCTTGAGTTAATATAGGTTATCTCTCTAACTGATGCTATCTTCCTTAACATTTAACATTTTGTTCATTATAACCGTAGTTTATGGAACAAATTTGTGACTAAAGTAACAGAAGAGAAATAGCTGGGTTGTTCCAGTTATATGGCGCACACATTATATATATATATATATATATATATATATATATATATATATATAACTGAAAACTCACACCCCAGAAGTGACTCGAACCCATACTCCCACAACTGGTATGTACAGGGACGCCTTAATCCGCTTGACCATCACGACCGGACATAAGGAAGTGATAGCCGAGGCTATATGAACCACTTCCCCGCCGGCACTCGGATGGTAATCTTGGGCATAGCATTTTATCAAATCACCTCATTCTTTGGGGCACACGTGTGCCCCAAAGAATGAGGTGATTTGATAAAATGCTATGCCCAAGATTACCATCCGAGTGCCGGCGGGGAAGTGGTTCATATAGCCTCGGCTATCACTTCCTTATGTCCGGTCGTGATGGTCAAGCGGATTAAGGCGTCCCTGTACATACCAGTTGTGGGAGTATGGGTTCGAGTCACTTCTGGGGTGTGAGTTTTCAGTTGTATATAGTCCTGGGGACCATTCAGGCTTGTTTGCATATATATATATATATATATATATATATATATATATGAATGAGTTTGGGTTGATATAAATAGCAGCTGCCTCACATGGGCCAAAATGCTTTCTACAGCTTCCTCTATCCTCATAATCTTGCTCTCCAAGAGATACAACCATCTTGGATGCTGAAGAAAAGTTTGAGCAGCGATACGAGTAAGCACAGCAAGACTCACCTTCTCTCCATACACGTCTAAAGTCTTGAAGGGGTTAACCGCAACGAGGATGTCACCCATGTAGGTGTAGATCTGGTCCGTGTTGTAGCGTCGATACAGATGGTCGACAATAACATCCTGCAAGCGACGCAGACGGAGGGAGATAGGGAAGAGGGTTGGTTAGTGATCAAATATGTAGGAAAATCAGTTATGTTGAGGGGGGGTTTATAGTGTAAATATAGCCATCTCCCAGAGATATGTAATTTCTTTGAATCTCACCGCCCCCTTCGCCAGCCTGTCACCGCCCCCTTCACCGCCCTCTCACCTCTGACAGCTTCTCCAAGCAGGCCAGGTCATCCATCCACAAGGGCGTCCTCTTCGTCTTGCGGTCAGCCTTCAGGGCCCCGCCCTTGATCGTCGTCTCGGGTTCCTTCTGCACCAGTTGGTTCCTCTTTCTCAGATCGTCCTGAAGGAGCGTCAGCTCCAGACGAATCTTCAAGGCGGGTTAAGAAGAAACAAGGGAAGCTTAAGATGCTTTCTATGCATGATTTAAAACAAAGGCAATGTAAATCTTAAGGAAAGGGTGTTAACACACGTGTTTCAGTCTGTTTTATCGTACTGAATCTGAAGTTTAGTAAAACTATAAAACCAATAAGAATTTTGATTATAAATGAAGATAAGGGACTTATTTTTGGGGGGGTTAGTTTTTTAATCTGTGGGTATTAGAGCCCAACTTTATATATTTTACCTTAAAAACACCTCGCTAATCAATGGGGTCTTTCGTAATCTTTCTCACGATTACAGAGTCGTAATGGATTACCCAATATGTCCCTCCATAATAAATGACATTATGGAGGCATACTGGAGTCAGTACACACTTACTGGAGGCCATACTGGGCAGGTATCACTCATTACCTGTCAACAACTTCCCCCCCTAACCACCCATCAAGCCACCTCAACAACCCCCCCCCCCTCCCCACCCCCCACCTTACGTGCAATTCATCCTGTCAATCCACTGCTTATCAGTCACCCCAAACCTACATTCATTCCATCAACCAAGAGACCACCAGGATTCTACCTCGGCCCTTGACCACATTCTATCTTGGCCCTTAACCACATTCTATCTACCTCGCCTCACCTGTTCAGGGTTGTTAGGGACGCCCTTGATGAACGGGTGCTGGAGGAGCTCCTTGGCCCCGGGACGCTGCTCAAAGTCTTTAATAAGACACTCGGAGATGAAATCATTGATGTGAAGCGACCACTCGGCGGGCCGGTCCAGCGTCGGTGGAGGATTTCTTGGGATCTGGAGAAATTGTCAGAAACGTGGTTTGTTGAACTAAACACGATGAAGTGTACATCTCGGTCATTGAAAATATTAATGAAATGCCACATAATATAAACAAGGAATACCACAGTTAGATGAAGTATGTGTCTTCGCAGCTTCTCAAGAAGGCGGAAGATGAAAAGGAATCTTATGTCACTTGCACAACACTAAAAAAACTAATTTGAGATCAACACACAACTAAACCACACACCAGTGGCCAGAACGTATATAGAATACAATGAAGAACGTACATTGAAAACTAATTTGGAGATGAGAGTGTACTTAGAACACATGAATTATCCAAACCTGGAAAAGCTATTAGGCCGTTCTTCACCGGGAACAACCCACTCATGGGGGGGGTGGACGTACCTGGAACAAGGCCCGCATGGAGGGGTGGACGTACCTGGAACAAGGCCCGCATGGAGGGATGGACGTACCTGGAACAAGGCCCGCATGGAGGGGTGGACGTACCTGGAACAAGGCCCGCATGGGGTGGACGTACCTGGAACAAGGCCCGCATGGGGTGGACGTACCTGGAACAAGGCCCGCATGGAGGGGTGGACGTACCTGGAACAAGGCCCGCATGGGGTGGACGTACCTGGAACAAGGCCCGCATGGGATGGACGTACCTGGAACAAGGCCCGCATGGGGTGGACGTACCTGGAACAAGGCCCGCATGGAGGGGTGGACGTACCTGGAACAAGGCCCGCATGGAGGGGTGGACGTACCTGGAACAAGGCCCGCATGGGGTGGACGTACCTGGAACAAGGCCCGCATGGGGTGGACCTCAGAGAGAGGCGGCTCCCCATCAGCCAGTTCAATAGCGGTGATGCCCAGAGACCAGACGTCACACCTCACATCGTAGCTGTAATCAAGCTGCTGCTCACACGCGATCACCTGCGGCGGGACCCCAGAGCTTTAGCACAACCTCCTCCCTCACTAGAGCATCGGAAATTTTCACGCTCTAGGTCCACGGCGTCAAAAATTGCAGTGGTTCAGTGAAATTTTTTTTAGAACCTGTCTACCACAATTACCATGAACCAGTCATTCACTACGTATATAACTCATCATTACTTACCTGCGATCATCATGTACTAGTTATCACCACATGCAATTCATCATGTCTCGGTCATCACCACATGGTCTTCAAGTACCGACCATTACCACATGCTAATCAACCATCGTTACAATCGCCGTCTTATTTAGTACTTTTCCCGGCTTCAAGAGTCATTTTCCCGCCTCATTGTATAAACTACACGGCCGCGAGAATGTTTTATTCGATGCAAGTCTTCCGAGTTGCAGCAGTTTTGAGAAATTCAAGTTGTCAGTAGTGATGTTTCCCATCGACATGTTGCAAGATGGCGGTTCAGGAAAGCCGTCGCTCGAGATGATTTTTGGCGCCTTGGGAGGAGCAGAGACGAGGACGCAGGGACCAGGATGAGAAGATGATTGGTTGTAGGTGTTTGAAGTAACCAATCAACGAGTAGCCCAAGGTTACGTCACCAGGGAGCGCGGGCTTATTGGCTACTTTGGCCCAGGAGGCGTCAGTGTACCTCAAGATCTAGTGGAGGATGGGTGCACATGGCCGATGCTCTCTAATATCGCAGATTTCATTTGCATATCGAGTTATATATCTTTGCTAAACCTTACAAAGTAAAAGAAGTGTCAACAGCTTAAACGCGCCTCAGGGAGGCGTTATTTGCAGACCTCACAGAAGGGGCAATTAAGAGTTCATTCTCTGATACGATTACCATGAAACACCAAGCCCATTCTCATACCAATTTGATAGTTATCTAGAGATTTGTGATGGTCTGAAAGTACGTTACGGTTCCAATAATAGTCCACTTGTAAACTGGCAAGTGAACGTTCGTTGTAAACAATGTTCTTAAATTATAGCTAGAATTATAACTAGTTTGTTTATAACAAGAGTCTATGCTTAACTTTTTTTTTTTGAATAGGCAGAAGAATTTAGTTTTGTGTAAATTAAAATTCATGGAATACCCAAATAAGTTTCGAATTTTATATTTTTTTACAAGTTTGAGAAAAAATAGACTGCATTAATATACTCAAAGATAATGAAAGCTAACCAAACCTTAACGTTACATAACCTTATCCCTAACCTAACCGTGGATAGGTAGTAGATAATAGAACTAATCACGTAGTGGTTTTGAAGTGACCACCTCCATTCTAGTTGCTGTTATAGATTCAGCTACTCGGAACAAGTTCCAAGTACCCCGGGCTATGGTGAGCCCGTAGTGAACTTACCTGGCACAGGAGCGGTGCCTCCATCCTTCCTGATGACAGATTTAGTACCCAGTGACAAACTGTGTGAGCAGCGAGGTGCCAAAGACTATTCTCCAGTGTGTTAGGATATAACCGCCTGCTGCGGAGACACCCCCAAAAGTCCCAATACATGTGTAATGGTAGTTATTCCACTGACCAGTCACAAGGTCTCGTATGTACCCTTAAGGAATCATTCTCCTCAGCTAGGATCGTCGTCAGGGAGTGACACGTTCAGGGTGATCTTTGACTCTTGACGACGTGACTCAAGACTTCGAGGAAAATGAAATAACAGTAAGAAAAGTTACCTCGTCTGAACAAATCCACAAAGGGCCGTGACGAGGATTCGAACCTGCGTCCGGGAGCATCCCAGACACTGCCTTAATCGACTGAGCTAGGAACTTCGGTTTCAACTCTTAACCCTGTCGTAGCTCAGTCGATTAAGGTAGTGTCTGGGATGCTCTCGGACGCAGGTTCGAATCCTCGTCACGGCCCTTGTGGATTTGTCCATTTGATGCATCACGTTAGTGTGATTTCTGTGTGTTACCTCGTCTGTATTCCTATCTTAAATTATATATATTTACTGTTATATCATAGGTACAACATCTGTACAAGTCAGCCCTACTGCCGTCACCAGTCAGCGTCTTCTGTAACTCAGCAGTACTGACTTCATCACACGATATTTCTGCACCGTCCAGTGCTCTCTTTTCCCCCCATATCGTGAATTTCAATGCGTCGACCCATCAGTGTCTCCATCAGGCGACTCTTCCAGACACCGAGCTGACACACTGCCTACCAGGGCAAGGTACGCACTTGTCAGTGGACATTACGAGCCTAGGCACGTAATGTTTACGTCCCTGAGCTGAGCTCCCGCCAAACACACACCGAAACTATGACGTTGGTACAACGTTCGAACAAGTTTTAACACCTCCTAACCATTTATAACAACCAATATAGCAAGTTGTAACAACGTTCTAATACGTCATAAACACGTTAAGCCAAGATGTAACAACTCTATTACAAGTTGTAACAAGCGGAAAATAGAGACAGTTTCGGTTTGTGTTTCCAGGGTAGTGAAGCACTGTGCGCTTGTTGTCTCTGTCGGCGACTCTGATTGGCTCTCATTTCCCGCCACCAATCGAGGGCAATTCTGGACCAAACTACCACCAAATGTCGGCGGCCTCGTTACCGTCTGCAACACTTTAATACATTATACTTTTGAATCACATTTATAATCTTAACTTGGTGCGACGAATTAACACGTCCTGATAGCTTTCCGTAACAAGTTATGCGATTGGGCAGTGCATTCGCCCAAGTGTGAGTAGAGCAACCTGTCTTCTCGAGCGTTCACAACGTCTCTAAAGTGATGTACTAAACTGCCCGAACCTAACCTAGTCTAGGACCTACGAATAAAAAACGGAACATGACGTAAATTTTGCTAGCCCCCTTCCCCCCCCCCCCCCCACAATCACCACTTCTGGGACAAATTATCCGAGCAAGATGGTGAGTGGTTCTCTATTGCATGTGTGTTGCAATCAGTGGATATCTGCAACATCAAGTACCAATCACCACCACGTACATGTACCAATCATCCCCAATCCAGTCACCATCATTTTAGTACCAGTCATCACCATGTCAGTAGCAGTCATCACCATATATCAGTCACCATTTACCAGTCATCACCCATGTACCAATCATGACCACGTACCTCTGGGGCCATCCAGTAGGGGGTGCCGACGGAGGTGTTCCGACGGCCCCAGGTGGAGGCCAGGTGGGAACTGACGCCGAAGTCAACCAGCTTGACGTTGCCTTGTTCCGTCAGGAGGATGTTGTGGCCCTTGATGTCTCGATGCATACACTTGTTGTCGTGCAGGTACGCCATGGCCTGAAACATCAGAGCAGTGTGTAGTGAAGTTGGTGGAGGATGGGGGAGGGGAATGAGAGGGAATGGGGAATGGGGGGGGAAGGGAGGGAAGGAAGGGAGGGGGTTGGGAAGGAGGGAAGGGTTAGGAAGTTCCGGTAGAAACTTCCACCGGAAGTTGATATATGGTAATGAATATATGACACAAAGGGTGATATTAATATTTCTGGCACAAATCTTCTCTATATTTCCCTCACGTTCTTCGTCATTTTGGGAAAGGAAATTGAAAAATTAACTCTCCAAAGATTTATGTTCCAATTCAACGTTGCCTGACGCTAAAACCTGCGCTTCGTTGAAGCTCTCAACATCATCGCGGGGGATGTGAATACAAATTATTGATTGATTGATAAAGATTAAGTCACCCAACTAGTGGCACGGGCATGAATAGCCCGTAAATATACAATTTATCTGAAGATGAGGAATATATAACCAATCAGGATGAGGTGAAATTACGTGCTATCCTGTCCATGGTGGCATTGTGAGTTGGATATTTAGCTATAGTGGCCTTAACGATGGCACAATTCACCCAAGTGCCTGCTGGCTGTTCATAGTTAGACGGGTGTTTGATGTGTAGTGCTTCGCCTATGTCTAATATTTTATTGTTGTTCGATCAATCGATTATTTTGTTGTTGGTGAGGATGTTTCCGGTTTTGGTCTGGTTGTGTGTGTGTGTGGGTATTATGTGTTCTTTGACGGAACTTTATTGTTTGTGCATGCTCAGGTGTCTTATAAGATATGTTGTCTTGCCTCTATATTGAGATCACTCGGGGCTAACAATCATTAAATGGGCAAATACAGACATAGACTACATTGGATTCTTTGTAGCTGTTTCGTCTGGTGACTGGACAGTTTTCATGAGTAACTAGGCGGCCATCCTGCTCTTGTTGACCAGACCACACACTAGAAAATGAAGGGACGACGACGTTTCGGTCCGTCCTGGACCAGTCTCAAGTCGATTTTCTAGATCGACGTAAGAATGGTCCAGGACGGACCGAAACGTCGTTGTCCCTTCATTTTCTAGTGTGTGGTCTGGTCAATATATTTCAGCCACGTTATTGTGACTCATCATCTGTATCCTGCTCTTGTGGTGTATGATAAGCAGTCATGCTTCTGTGAATTATGTCTTACGTGAATTTCCTTCGTTTTGCGAACCGTCGAAGAGAAGTTGCAACAGAAGATATAGATAGATGGTACAAGGACTGAAACGGTGACCGTTTCATCAGAATATGGCGGTTCACCTTCCTCTTAATGATCTCTTCAACGTTTCCATTGTTGAGAAAGACATGTCTTTATGTACTGAACTGCTCAATAGTCTGCTTCCAACTGGCGCTGCCTGTAAGGGTAGGGCCAGGACGTAGCAGACTAGCAGAGGACGTAGGGCTTGACAAAACGTCCCTTGTCACCTTGCGTTCACTACTAGCATGAAGCCACATTGCCATAGTACAGAGTGCAGTGTGACAGCCACCATTGTACAGGAAAGGAACCTCCACTCTACATCTCGTAAGTGGAACTAAGCACGAAACTTAGCTCGAAGGCTTCCTGAAGCTGTTGAATACTTGTAAGACTATGTTAACGTACTTAAGTAAATCTCAAGTTTTAAGTCAATGTCAACAATGACTTCCTCCTCAACAGCTCACAAAGATAAACACCAACGTGGCGACTCACAGCGACACCGTTCACATGTTAATTCGTGCTACAAGCAGTTTCTTAAGTATGCAAACTGGGATGTCAGGAGGAGAGTGTACTGGAGCCTGGTAAACTCTGCTCATCATCATTCCTGTAGACTCATCCCTGTAGGCTCGTTGATGAATAACGTTGATGGTGTGTGTGTGTGTGTGTGTACTCAACTAGTTGTGCTTGCGGTGGTTGAGCTGCGGCTCTTTGGTCCCGTCTCTCAGCTGTCAATCTACTGATGTACAGGTTCCTGAGCCGACTGGGCTCTATCATATCTACACCTGAAACTGTGTATGGAGTCAGCCTCCACCACATCACTTGTGTGTGTGTGTGTGTACTCACCTAGTACTCACCTAGTTGTGTTTGCGGGGGTTGAGCTCTGGCTCTTTGGTCCCGCCTCTCAACCGTCAATCAACAGGTGTACAGATTCCTGAGCCTATCGGGCTCTATCTGTGTGTGTGTGTGTGTGTGTGTGTGTGTGTGTGTGTGTGTGTGTGTGTGTGTGTGTGTGTGTGTGTGTGTGTGTGTGTGTGTGTGTGTGTGTGTGTGTATTCCACAATCACTTTCTCTTGTTTACCGCCCTTCCTCCTGGTCCGTGACGTCACCAGCCTTGACCTGTGACCTCACTTACCCTGGAATTCTCGCCAGAAACACTTTCTCTTCAAGCAAACTGGGCAACCCTGAGTGAAGGCACTCCGTGACGCTAAGAACCCCCCCGTGACTCCAAGCACCTGGTGAAGCAAGACACTGCGTGACGCAACTCTTGTGTAAGCTCCTTTGTGGCTTGTTTCAGCTCGAAGCTCTTGCCCCTTTGTATCAGTTTCATTGTGGCTTGTTTCAGCTCGAAGCTCTTGCCCCTTTGTATCAGTTTCACTGTGGCTTGTTTCAGCTTGAAGCTCTTGCCCCTTTGTATCAGTTTCACTGGGGCTTGTTTCAGCTCGAAGCTCTTGCCCCTTTGTATCAGTTTCACTGGGGCTTGTTTCAGCTCGAAGCTCTTGCCCCTTTGTATCAGTTTCACTGGGGCTTGTTTCAGCTCGAAGCTGTAGTCTAAAGCAAGCAGCAGAAAATTGTATTACACGTTGAAATCCAGTACAGAACCTATTAAAGCAAATCACATGCAGGTAAGACTCATTAATATACTTGGGTTCAGTTCCTATCGAACTTTATCGCAGCATTTAATAGTATTTTACTCTGATATCAATAATGTAGTTTTGCCTTTATCTCAACTGTGGGGTCTGGGTGTGTAGCAGAGAGAGAGAGAGAGTTGTTTATCCTTGAATTTGTCAGTTAAGTAAATAATTTATACTTTTAGGAGGTTTTTTTAATTCTGTAATAAAACGAATATATAGACCATTAAATCTCATTTCCGCAGAATGAGAGTTGAGACTCAAGGTCAGATACACCTATACATATTTATATGTAACTTAAACATATTTAACTATTCTGTTGTAATTGAGAAACAATTGCACGTGTGTATTTGCACTTATATATATATATATATATATATATATATATATATATATATATATATATATATATATATATATATATATATATATATATATATATGCTCCACTTATGCTCCACAAAATGCTCCACTTATATATATATATATATATATATATATATATATATATATATATATATATATATATATATATATATATTTATTTATTTATTTATTTATATCCATATGTCCACCCACCCACTCATCCATCATGTGGGTGGGTGGATACATGGATACATGGATACTGAAAATACTGAAAATACTCACATCAATGGTCTCCTTCAGGATGTAGGCCAGTTGTCCCTCCGTCAGTTTCTGTCCTCGTCTGATGAGAGCTTGGACCAGGTCGGTAATGGACCCCCGAGGACACAGCTGAGGGACAGAGCGAGTGTGAGAGAGAGAGAGAGAGAGAGAGAGAGAGAGAGAGAGAGAGAGAGAGAGAGAGAGAGAGAGAGAGAGAGAGAGAGAGAGAGAGAGAGAGAGAGAGAGAGAGAGAGAGAGAGAGAGACAGACAGACACACACACACACAATGAAATATAAGTATAATGTAGCAAGTATATTATTTGTTTGTCCTATTCTCCTCTCTCTCTTTTTCCCATTAGTTTCCTTATTACTTTCTAGATTATTTTCTTTCATTAATTTCCTCCCTCTAAATTGTCAGGTGGCCTGGATGGTAGAGTGACGGCCCCCTTTCAGGCAGGGCCGGGGTTCGATCCCCAGTGGTTCAAGTGGTTGCAAAATGCTCCACCATTTCAACCTCCTTGTCCTTATATCTTATTTTCCTCGTATCCTCACTCACTGTACTTATATCCCAGCTCCTTGAACCCGTGTCCCAGCTCCTTGAACCCGTGTTCCAGCTCCTTGAACCCGTGTCCCAGCTCCTTGAACCCGTGTCCCAGCTCCTTGAACCCGTGTCCCAGCTCCTTGAACCCGTGTCCCAGCTCCTTGAACCCGTGTTCCAGCTCCTTGAACCCGTGTCCCAGCTCCTTGAACCCGTGTCCCAGCTCCTTGAACCCGTGTCCCAGCTCCTTGAACCCGTGTCCCAGCTCCTTGAACCCGTGTCCCAGCTCCTTGAACCCGTGTCCCAGCTCCTTGAACCCGTGTCCCAGCTCCTTGAACCCGTGTCCCAGCTCCTTGAACCCGTGTCCCAGCTCCTTGAACCCGTGTCCCAGCTCCTTGAACCCGTGTCCCAGCTCCTTGAACCCGTGTCCCAGCTCCTTGAACCCGTGTCCCAGCTCCTTGAACCCGTGTCCCAGCTCCTTGAACCCGTGTCCCAGCTCCTTGAACCCGTGTCCCAGCTCCTTGAACCTGTGTCCCAGCTCCTTGAACCCGTGTCCCAGCTCCTTGAACCCGTGTCCCAGCTCCTTGAACCTGTGTCCTAGCTCCTTGTTCTCGTAAATCATTTTCCCCTCTCTCATTTCACCTCATTTTCCTGCCCTCATTCTCACGCCCTCTCATATTCCCTCACCTCCATAGCAAGCCAGGCCTGGTCCTCCTCTTGCTTGCTCCCCTTCTTGAAGAAGATGCCGTAGAAGGCTGGGAGATTTGGGTGGATGCTGAGATCTCTTAAGATGAGATACTCTTCCTCTATCTCTTCCAGGTTTTCTCCTATGTTCTCCATGATCTTGATGGCCACCTTCTTACCTGGGGAGAGAGAATGGGGGGTTAGGGGTAGTTATGGGTAAACCTGGGTGGTTCGGAGCACATGGTGATTAGGTAACAATGGGTTTACAAGGTTTTAAACGCCCTCTCTACACTCGCTATTGCCTCTACTACCTCTTCTATGTTCCTCTCTACTCATCATTGCCTCTTCTATCTCATTAATGAGACCACTAAATTCACTATTTCCTATTCTATCTTACCTGTGTCACTACCCTACCCACCCAGTGCCTATTCTATGTCACCTATGTCACAATATCACACTCCCAAATGCCTATTCTATATCGCTATTGATACCACCCATTATCCTATTCATCTTTCCTCCTCTCAGAGTCTCATACCATTTTGAATCCCTTTCTCCTCTTCCACCCATTTACTCAATCACCCTTTCCGGTATCCTTGAGGATAAAGACCCCTTCAAGAAATAACCTTTTACCGCCCTATTCTATACCAACTTCCTCTTCCATCGTCTCCGACCCTTTCTTCATATCTCTCCTCCTAACCTCTCTTCTACATCCCTCATATCCCTTCCGTGTTCTTTTCCCAGCAAAGCCCCCTTCTTTTCTCTACTAACCATCCACTAAAGCCCCGAAATCATCTCAAGATAACCTCAAGATCCCAAAACTCACCCGTTTCATGGTCCTTAGCGGCAAAGACCTCGCCATAAGTGCCTTCGCCGATGATCTCAAGCAGTTCGAAGCGCGTGTTGGGGTCCGGGAGGACATCGAAGTCAATGTGCTGACTCATGCCCAGATAAGACATCCTGATCGACACCGGTAGCTCTGGAGATCAGGAGATAATTAACCTTAGTTGATGTCACAGGTGAGAAGATGAGGGGGGCTTGCTGGATACGATAGGTTGAGGTTAGGTAGTTGAGGCGAGGTAAGTTGGTAAGTCAGTATGACTGGAGCATTTGGAAAATGGTGTGAGGACAAGGGGCTGGGGGTATGAGGACAAGGAGCTGGGGTATGAGGACAAGGAGCTGGGGGTATGAGGACAAGGAGCTGGGGGTGTGAGGACAAGGAGCTGGGGTATGAGGACAAGGAGCTGGGGTATGAGGACAAGGAGCTGGGGTATGAGGACAAGGAGCTGGGGTATGAGGACAAGGAGCTGGGGTATGAGGACAAGGAGCTGGGATATGAGAAAGGAGTGAATGAAAGAGGTCAAGCCACTTGGACAATCACAGATCGAACGCCGACCCTGTGAGGACTGAAGCCGTCGGTCTACCCACCTGATGCAACACGGCAGGAAAATAACAATTAATATATAATCCATTTACATAAGCTTTCACACAATTGACCTACATAGCATTGTCTTGTCCTATAGTCTTTCAACATGTCTATATATGCCTTTCCAGAGGCATGAGATGGAAGGAAACGTGCCCAAACTCTCTCACTGTCCGGGAATCGAACCCTATATTTCAATCCGTGTAGAGAGTGTCCCTATTTTTTTTCAGTCCCTAGATCATTCAACTTCATAAATACCTCAACACTTCAGAGATGATATGTAATGTGGAATCGTTTTGGAGTTTATTTCCAGAAGGGAATTCGATTCCAGGTTGGCATCCGGTCTCCTCTACTCAGCAACCTGCTTCATTGTTGTTCAAAAGTTGAACTCAAATAACCACTTCTTGGGGATTTCTCGGAGAATATTCAAGTCTTTTTGTTTTTAATAGGAATCTTTCTCTGTTGTGTGTGTGTGTGTGTGTGTGTGTGTGTGTGTGTGTGTGTGTGTGTGTGTGTGTGTGTGTGTGTGTGTGTGTGTGAGTGTGTGTGTGTGTGCACGACAGGTCGTATCATAACTTAGATATCATTGTACATTCTATTATTTTCTGTTTAAATTTCTTTGTTAAAACAGAGTGGAAATTTCACCTCCCGCTCGAGCGCCTCTCAATTCTTCACCTACCGCTCGAGCGCCTCTCAATTCTTCACCTACCGCTCGAGTGCCCCTCAATACGCAACCTGCCACTCGAGCGTATATTACGCCACGACAAAAACCACAGTGAATTTTACACCCAAATCCACAACATTCTCTGTGCTCCACTCCATGTCATGTCATCGGGTCATGTCGTCGGGTCATGTCGAAACTCATTCTATTTGACTGGGCTAAAATTACATTGATCTGAACTTCGTAAGTAGGAGATTAGCAGCTGCCTCGCATGGCCCAATAGCAGCTGCCTCGCATGGCCCAATAGCAGCTGCTTCGTATGGCCCAAAAGGAATTGCCTCGCATGGCCCAATAGCAGCTGCCTCGTATGGCCCAATAGCAGCTGCCTCGTATGGCCCAATAGCAGCTGCCTCGTATGGCCCAATAGCAGCTGCCTCGTATGGCCCAATAGCAGCTGCCTCGTATGGCCCAATAGCAGCTGCCTCGTATGGCCCAATAGCAGCTGCCTCGTATGGCCCAATAGCAGCTGCCTCGTATGGCCCAATAGCAGCTGCCTCGTATGGGCCAATAGCAGCTGCCTCGTATGGGTCACGTTTCTCATCACGGAAGCTGTGTGAAAGCCAAGTTTCCTGTACACTGTCAACTACAGTTCTCAGAAACCTTTTCAGGCCATAAACCTTTGTTTCAGGCGTCTAACTTTGGTTTTCGTCGATCAATTTGTGTTTGACTTGTGACAAAAAATCTACCTCGGTTTTAGGTAATATATTTACCTTTATATTAGGGGAATAAACCGGTGGTTAGGGATATAACCAATGAGGTGGTTATAAGCCAATAAATCGGTGTTTTTAGGGTGAAATAAACCGAGGTTTTTTAGGCAACAAGCTGGGGTTTTAGGCAAAAAAAACGGTATCTTACAGTAATAAATTAGTGTTTAAGGGCAATAAACCGGTGTATTAGGGCCAAAAACCGGTGTATTAGGGCCAAAAACCGGTGTATTAGGGCCAAAAACCGGTGTATTAGGGCCAAAAACCGGTGTATTAGGGCCAAAAACCGGTGTATTAGGGCCAAAAACCGGTGTATTAGGGCCAAAAACCGGTGTATTAGGGCCAAAAACCGGTGTATTAGGGCCAAAAACCGGTGTATTAGTGCCAAAAACCGGTGTATTAGGGCCAAAAACCGGTGTATTAGGGCAATAAACCGGTATTTTAAGCCAATAAACCGGTGCTTCGGACCACGACGCTGCAGTCCGACATTTACACTGTTCAGACAGTGAATCCAGTCACTCTACCTGCTCGCCACGGCAGTAGCGACGTGTGAATGTAACTGTCAAGATCTGTTGGACGGGTACTCACTTATTGGTGCCTGCAGGATCGAGCTCTGGCTCTTGGACCCCGCTTTTTGTAGTCGACCAGTTGCCCAGTGTAATGACCTATTTTCCCCCTAGCATAAACAAAGTCATTTATGTTATGGCCCTACACACACACACACACACGCGCGCGCGCTCACACACACACACACACACACACACGCACACGCATACACGCACGCACGTCACGGTCACACCTTGCCGTGGAAATTTAGGTGAACTCTCCCTACTTTGCACGAGTGACCCCTAATGCAAGAACTTAACAGAAAACGAGATTCTGGAACGGAATTTCTCAATTTTCAGACAAATATGAAACGAGAAAAAAATATATATTAAACATGACCCTAAATGTTATTTTTCGAAGAAAATAACATGTAACTTTTTCATGTTCTTTTCTGTTTTTTGTCTGTTCTTACGATTTTTTCTGTTCTCTCTGTTATTTATGTTACCTTTTTTCACTATGTTCTACCTGTTCTTTCTGCTCTCGGTTCTTTGGGTTTTTTCTGTTTCCTGTTCATTCTATTCTCTTTTCTTTCTGTTATCTGTTCTCTGTTCTTTCTGTGCTTTATGTTCTTTGTTTTTACTTTGTTCTTTAAGTTCTCTATGTCCTGTTCCTCCTGTTCTTTCCTCACTATCTACAATCAGATTGGAACCTACAATCAGTCTATAGCCAAGATGGAACAATCTCCCACATACTGCACCTGTGTTGAACACACACAGGCAAGGTAGGGTGATTACGACACGAGAACTCTAAGCTTGTCCATTCTCTGAAGAAATATTAGGACAAGGAGCTGGGATTTGAGGACAAGAAGCTGGGCTATGAGGACAAGGAGCTGAGATATGAGGACAAGGAGCTGAGATATGAGGACATAGAGCTGAGATATGAGGACAAGGAGCTGAGATATGAGGACAAGGAGCTGGGATTTGAGGACAAGAAGCTGGGCTATGAGGACAAGGAGCTGGGATATGAGGACAAGGAGCTAAGATATGAGGCCATGGAGCTGAGATATGAGGACAAGGAGCTGAGATATGAGGACATAGAGCTGAGATATGAGGACATGAAGCTGGTATTTGAGGCCATGGAGCTGGGATATGAGGACAAGAAGCTGGGATATGAGGACAAGGAGGTGAGATATGAGGACAAAGAGCTGGGATATGAGGACAAGAAGCTGGGATTTGAGGACAAGGAGCTGAGATATGAGGACAAGAAGCTGGGATATGAGGACAAGAAGCTGGGATTTGAGGACAAGGAGCTGGGATTTGAGGACAAGGAGCTGGGATATGAGGACTAGGAGCTGAGATATGAGGACATAGAGCTGAGATATGAGGACATGAAGCTGGTATTTGAGGCCATGGAGCTGGGATTTGAGGACAAGAAGCTGGGATTTGAGGACAAGGAGCTGGGATATGATAACAGACTGAAGTAACAGTGCCAAACCATTTGTTTTTGATGAACTGACACCAATGACAAGCTTATAGTCAGTCACTGTCTATCTGGAACTACTCAATATGCGTATAGACAGTCACTGTCTAACTGAAACCAGTTAAAAAGCGTATAATCAATCACTAAATGGAACCCAGGCAATAATCGAATGATTTGCGATTCCTAACCTCCAAAAAACCCCTACCAATCTCCCATGAGAATGTTGTGCTCCAGCTCCCGGACTCATTACCAAGTTCCCACAATGCAATAGACTACAACGGTGACAAAGGAAGCAGTGACGGCATCTCCACTCGCTACAGATTCATTTGTGGTGTGTTAGAGAAATATTGTTTGTTTGTACCTCCTCTGTTTGGCTCCTTTGTTTACCCCTTGTTTTTACTGTGTAAATATATCAAATGTTACTGTCTATTTGTCTGTTGTATGTCTCTCTCTCTCTGTCTCTTTCTCTCTCTCTGTCTCTCTCTCTCTCTCTCTCTCTCTCTCTCTCTCTCTCTCTCTCTCTCTCTCCCCTCCCTATCACACACACACATTATATATATATATATATATATATATATATATATATATATATATATATATATATATATATATATATATATATATATATATATATGAATATTACATATATTACACCTGTGTAAGTCATAAACACCCGTAAAATACCTGCTGTTTTAGGGGATATATAAGAGAGTATAGCATTAACAAGGAAACTCCTTGAAATGAAAAAAATAATAATGTTTTTGCATTTCTTTAGCAAGTACTTTTGTTGATCAAAATAAGCAAATCACTGTCAATGGGAACGGAAACAATAGACATATCCATGAGACGGAACGTCGGCCTGACAAAAAAAAACAAAAAAAATAATAATATCTTTTGTAAATTGACTGAATGTAGTTGTTGGTTCAGAATGCAATTTGTAATTATTGTATAATAGTGAATTATAGTTCCCCTCACAATGACATGCATTGATTTGACATGTGTAATTATCTTTTGTGTTCCGGAGACGCGACTGACAGATAATTAATAAAGCCAAGAGGGAGATAATCAGGTCTGAAAGCATGATGAGTCCTGTGAGATAGAAGGTA